TAGAAAATATGCAGTCCTTTCCAATTCTCTGTCTCTTTGGTTTAGAATTCATGAAGCTTTGTGTCGCAGCCGAATAGAATCTTTATCTTTGTCCTTATTATAGAATTGCATGCAATCATTTCTGCTCCTCACTCTTCTCACACAATCCCCCACAATACTCACAATGCCTACATACTACTCTCCACAAGTGCACCAACCAGTATATACAAGTTGTCATCGATGCTCAAACTCTTTCTCAGTATCTTGTAAATCATCTTGATTCTCAAGCATTGATTGTGTTTTTTTTTTTATTATTCTTACTATGTTGACTTCTTAATCAAACATTATCAAAAGAGTCGTTTAAACTCTCATCCAATAGATCAATTTAAGGATCTTATTCATGTGTTCCTTCACGTGTATCATATTATTGATATTTTTGCGTTTAATTCGTACTCTCTTTCACAAATTAGTCACACTTCTTTTTTATCACTAAGAACCTATGGTTAGCAAGTCATTCAACCATTTCATCTTATATCACTTTATTTCCAAGCTCAAGTCGCATCTTTCTATGCTCACTTGTTTTGATATACAAGGAGATGGTGTAATTTTTTATTAAGGAGAATCTAATTATTTATGGAGGGGACTGTTATTTTATCTAAATTATCACATGTGCTAATTGTTTATGAGAAATTTGCACTATTTATTATGGGGAATTACATGCATACAATTAAAAGTACGCCTATTTACAAATGTAGTTAAGGAATTGATTTCTTTAATGCTTGGTTGTGATCCTCCGTGCACCCTCACTTGCACTGATTCCTGCACACTTTTGGCTTCATCCTCTCGCTCTCTTTCAACGACAGCTCATGATATTTGAATTTTCCTATGCTCGCACTTAAGTTGGGCCGTCATTCTCGATCCCTCTGGCTTTTAAAGTTGTCATTGTTCCCCTCTCTGATTTCTTCATGGTTTTAATGGATTTTTGCTCCTCATCTTACTTTTGATGTCATGCTTGTTGAATTCCTTTGAATACAGATAGTGCTTTGGTCTCCACTACATGAATTCATAGCTAATAGAGATCAAGTTTCACTGAATCAACTTCATTAATTAATTACTAACAGAGATCAAGTTTCACGAAATCAACATTGCCTTAGCCTTTAAACATTGGGTCTTCCCTTACTCTTTAGGCACATTATAATAAATTGAGGCCTCTAAATTTTTTCATCCAGTTTATATGTAAACTAGCGGCCTAGATTTTGGGCCATCTCTTACTCTTTAGGCACATTATAATAAATTGAGACCACTATTTTTTTCATCTAGCTTATATGTAGACTTGGGGCCTATTTGGGATAACTTTCTACCTGCTTTGCGTTTCGGACCTTTGCCACAACTTTGTTTAGGGAATTGATTTCTTCCTGTAGTAAATTTTTGTGTTGGGAAGCTACTTTCTTCAACCAGAGCTATTAAATTGCGGCGGCTGTAAAAAAACTTATGTATGATTCTTTGATATATATATATATATATATTGAAAGCCCAAAAAGGCTAACATATTAAATAGAAAGAAAGATACAGATACAATGTGTGGGAGGGCTCAAGCATGACACCTTGCCCACACAAAAAATCACAAATGGTTTCAAAACTAAAAAAAAAACAAAAAAATGCATTAAATACTTAAATAAAAAGCCTAACAGTGTCGAGAAGTTTCATTCTCCACCCCAACTGTACAAACTACTTTATAAAAAATTGCAGCCAACCTCGGACAAACTCTTTTTGTTTTGCAAAACACCTATTGATTGCTTTTAAATTGAATTCTTAAGATTGAGCAAAGTCGTTTGTAGCTTTAGAAATAGATGGAGGTTTGGGTATTAAAAGTTGATTCTTGAGCAATAGTTGTTTTAACAAGTTGGTGGAACAAGGATTGCTTTTCCTTAATAGTGGAGGTTGTTCTTTTGGGCGGCACCAAAAATCTTTTTTTGGCAAAAAGTTGGGTGCATATATTATTCACCTTTTGTTGATGTTAACTTTAATTTTCTTTCTCCTTTCAGGATCTTTGTTTGACTTCTCCTGAAAAAGTGCCTTGTTCATGTAGCACAAAGCATGCTGAAGAAGTTTTGTATCTGGAACAAGAGTTAGACAGACTGAAGGCGATTATTGCAGTAGAGAAATCATCTCGCGTTGAGGCAGAAGAAAGAGCAATTCTTTCAGAAACTAAGCTAAGCATAACAAATGGTAAGCTCATGCTGATAATTAAGAGATGTGATGCAACAGTAGACAAATTGAAGGACACAAGGTCTGTCATTGAAGCCCTTGAATCCCAACAAATGCTTTCAATTAATGAACTTGAGGAACTAAGAGAGAATAACAATCGACTTGCGGATACCGTGAAGATACAGGAGCAACAGATCTCCACAATGAAGAAACAACTTGCTTTGCGTGTTGATGTTGGAAACAGAAAATCTATTATTGCTCATGAAATATTGAGAGAATATTACTTTGAAAGTGAGTGCTCTTCTCCCTTTCAGGATAAACTGAAAAGAGTGCAAGCTTCTCTAGAAAAAGCTTGGAACCTGAACATAAGGTATCAAAGTGACCAGGCATCTCACTCATCCAGTGAAAGAGAAATGGATGAAGTTCGTAGGCAAGTTGAAGCTGAAACTGCTGAAGTTATTGTCTGCCTGCAAGAGGAGCTCACCATAGTTAATCATATAGTTGATGAATGCAACAAAAATGAACTGGTGGCCAAACAACGCTTAATGGATCTTGAAAAGGAGAAAAAGGAGCAAGATGATAAAGTCTATTTGTTAACTCTAGAAAATATAAAGCTTGCCAAATTAACTGAAGAGAAAGAGCAAAATGCGAGTTCAATCATAGAACATTGGGAGAAACTAGCCATTGATATTTCAAATCTTCTTGAGAACGGGAAGACACAACTCGAAAATGCCACTCATGAAGCAGCTTCTATTTCTAATATTTGCTCTCACAAAAGTTGGATCGGTGAGCAATTTGAAAAAATTATTATTGGAATCTCTAACAGAGATTCCTTAATTGAAGAACTACAGAAGAATTTGGAAGATGCTTGTTATGTAAGGCATGATATTGAGTCAAAATTGATGGCCTTGAGAGGAGCAATATTGGCTTTTACTGAAGCACAACAGCAAGAAAACTCTGAGAAAGAAAGCAGAATTCTCCATTTAACTTCACTATTGGCCGAGAAAACATCTATCATATCTGAATTAGAAGACAAAGTTGAAGAAGCTGTAAGAAAAGTTAGGAACGTTGAGATATGCGCTGCAATTTTTTTCATTATTGGGAAGAAATTATATGAGATAAATAAGATTCATCTTCAAGCATTGGATGAGGCCAACTTGCAGCTTAGAGAATCTGAAAGAGTTATTACACAGAAAGAAGATATCATGCAAGGACATGCTTCTTTACTCTCTATTGAAGGCAAAAGATGTCAAGATCAAAGAGCAAATGTAGAGCAAAATTATCAACAGGCCAATTCTCTAGAGCACTGGAAACATGACTATTTAGATACCAGTTCGAAGAACGAGGAGGAAAACATCGCAACTTCAGATTCTTCTTGTGGTCTTGTAGAAGCAAAGATGAAGCTTCGAGAATTTCAAATGCAAATGAGTACACTGAAATCTTGTATGCATGAGTATGCTGATAACCAGGTAAGCTAATGCCCCTTTCCTTAATAAACAAGCAAATAAACGTGGATCACCGCTTTTATCTTTTTTGTTATTTCTTTTATTTATGGCATTGATGGGTTTTTTTTTCTTTTTCAAGTAAATGAAAAGCATTCTTCAAATTTTCTTACTTATATTGAGACAATGTTGCAGTCTAACATTGGATCTAGTGAAGATACTCACAATGATGAGAAAAAGAATTCTGAAACTTATTACATATTGACTTATTACATAACTTGTGTAATAATTCAATATGTAAGATGCTTGTTATCATATCTTATTACAAATTTTTTTACTTCCCAACGTAGTGTTGTCCACCTCACATTCCACCCCCTATTGATTCCGTCTCCCGACTCCTACCCATTACCCCTCTCCCAGCATTCGCTTCACTCTCTCTCCTTCATATACTCGTGAGATTTTGTTCTCTTTTTAATTCTCACAGTTTAAACTCTGAAATGTCGTTATTCTATATAATAGTCAATGGAGTTATGTTGGTGCTTTAGTAGTTATTTATATCCACTTGTTACATATTGAATGATACTTATTTCACAGTTTTTATCTAAGATAGCAAAGTCCAAGATGAAATTTTGGTATTCATGCTTAAAAAAAACAAAGCCTGCAATACATTAATAAGAAAACATGTGATAACTTTACGTTTTCTGTTTCGTTTAGTATTTTGTACATGTTTTTGAGTTTTGAGCTGTAACTTGTATGGGGTATAACATGAGTAATTGAACCCCCAAAATAGAGATTCTTACTGCTCTTAGTTGGGTTTGTTGGCTAATAACATGAGGAATTATAGCTTATTGAACCATGCACTTCTCTGGTTGCTCAGCTTGTCCAGTGCAAATCAATAATATCAGAACTGAACTTGCATGAAGAGGCACAAGCAAGCGAATATAACCGGAAGGTACTCCATCACCTTGCCTTTTTTTTTCAGCTAAATCCATGAAGGTTTTGGTACTTTGTGTGTTTATGTAATTTGTCAAAATCACAGAGTGAACTACCTTGCATTTATTTTTTTATCGAGAAAGGGTTTGCACGGAGATCATTTTGGTCTCAGAGTTTATAAAAATGTCAATTTGATCCCAAAATGTTTTAATATGGGTTGAAAATAATCTCTAGATAGGACTACTTGACTTGGGATTTCCCCTCGTAGATGCGGGAAACTGGTGTGGGAACTTGCTGCCCAAATGCGGGAAAACAAGAGCCGACTGAACCGGTTGGGGGTCGGTCCGAGCTTCCAAATGGATCAAGCGGCTTATGCGATCTTCCTTTTCACATCTCTCGCTTGGATCGAGCAATTGAAACTTCCTTTTCTACGTCTTCTTCGTTTGACGATATTTTTAGGGATGATTTTTTAATATTTCTAGACTCCTTACCCCTTCCTTTTGTATTGGAGTTTCCTTCTTTATCTCTTTCGTTCCTTCTTCATGTAAGAGTCCATTTAATTATTGATCTCAGAGTTAGGAAGTAGTTTTTGCTCTGTGTTCATTTTAGATTCTTGTGTGGAGTCATTTTCACTGTTGTAGGTTGTATCCGAGGAGGCGTGGTGCTCCGACTATATCTTACTTCAAGGTGGGGTGATGTATCTTTCTCCCTTTTTGGCTATCCAACCCTTCTCCCTCTATTTAGCTATTGTTCTTAGAGTTGGGAAGTAATTTTGGTTGTGAGTTGAATTTAGATTCTTGTGTGGGGTCATTTTTCTCTTTGTGGGCTGTATCCGAGGAGATGGTTGTGCTCCGGCTATATGCTGCTTCAAGGTGGTGATGTATCCTCCTTCTTTGTTGGCTATCCAGCTCTCTTCTTTCCCCATAGCCTCCGGTCACTCTTAATCCCTTTCCCCAGCGTCTATCGCTCCATCCTTCTGCATTTTACCTTGTTGTCTCTGCAATTCTGCACTGCCCCCTCGCTACCATCAGCATTCACTTGCTGCCACCACCATTGCCAACCATCCCGATCCACCTAACCCGACCTCCACCGGCTTTAGGATGCACTTTTGAAGTGTCCGTTTGTGTTATCCTATGTGTCGGTGATGTTATTTTCAGTTTGTGTGTGCGTAACCCTATCCTTATATCAATAAAAGTTTACTTACGTGTTTAATTTATGGTTTGGGGCTTTCTCTTCCTGTATCACTATTTTAGCCCTAATTTAAAGAGTTTGGAGATTAATTGGGCAGTTAAACTCTGGGATTAAAATAAACCCATGTAAAAGTCAAGGGATACTAGTTTAGCACTTCTTTAATGTCTTTGATAAGTCCTCTTCATATGCAGTTTAAAGAGCTGGAGGCGATGGCATTCCAACTCAAAACTGAGCTCGTAACCTCCAATACTTCAAATCCAACATCTACGAAATCGGAAAACGGCGCAGCAAAAAGTAGAGGCTCTGGTTCTCCTTTTAAATGTATGGTGGGACTAGCACAACAAAATAGCACCGAGAAGGATAAGGAGTTCACTGTGGCAAGATGCAAGATTGATGAACTCGAAGCTTTAGCTGCAAGCCGACAAAACCAGGTACCGCTCAGTTATTTGTAATTTGTGCTTTTACACTCGACTTATTTAGCTATTCCCAGTAATTTGTGTTTTTACTTGCTGGTTTTTGTTTATTACCACCAGATTTTTATGTTGAATATACGCTTAGCAGCAGCTGAGAGCATGACCCATGATGTTCTTCGAGATTTACTGGGAATCAAGTTGGATATGACAAAATACACAGTGAGATCAATCTTTAATTGAATTTTGTAAACTATCCTTTTTTGCATCTGGTTTGAGTTTTTTCATGTTTGTTGAAACATTTTTATTTTATTGTGCTACTGTCGAAGATGAATGGGGGATCTCATTCAAATGATTCAATGAAAGAGAAGGTTTGTGCGCTGGCGCTTTATTATAAAAAACGTAAAAATGTATATTTTATTCTTATGTTAAATATTTTACTCTGAGAAGGGTAAAGAGTTGGGAGAGCTGAAAAGGAAAGTTGATGAACTTGTTGAAGAGAGAAAAAGGTGAACTCTTTAGCACATCTTGCCATCGTGATTGACTGAGAATAAAGTTTGTTTTTGCATATTTTAGTTTGCTTGAAGAAATAAATAGAAGTCACAGAGAATTAATTGCGGCTCAAATTTGGTTGGGGAAGCTCGAGGAGAATGAGGAATTTTTATCTACTGAAAATGAACTATTGAAGGTTTTACTTCATCATATGTTGTTTTTTTTAATGATTTTAATTGTTTAATCTCTACATTTCTCATTCACCACAACATGCAATTCAATACTTTTTGAATGTTTTGCAGGCTGATAATGCCAAATTGTCATGGAACTTGAGGAGGAATTAGAAAAAATTTCTATTCTATTGGATATGCAATAACCCACTCCATGTTAAGGGTGATTTTATTGAAATTATTGAACTTTGTTGGATAACATATTCTGATATTGTTCTATTTATTTCCTATTTTTGCATTAGCCAATCCCATCTTTTTTTTGTTTCTTTTTTTTATTTTTTTTGTATTTTTGGATAAAAGAAGCTTGGTTCCCTAGTCTCTCTCTTGTCAATGTAGTTTGACAAGATCTTTATTTAGTGATTGAATTCATTATAGATTTTTTTTTTGTTATTAAATAGTATATTATTCTTAATATTGTATTTGATTACTTTATAAAAATTTAAAATGAAATTTAATCCATGCAAATTTACTTGTCTACATTTGCAGGAGCTGAAGCAGCGCCAGTGATGTTTTTAGTCATGGAGAGGCTCTAACCTCTATATATATATAATCTTGCTGCTGTACTAATTTCTCATTAGACTCTTAGCTGCCAAAGAGATTTCTAATAAATAATCACTCATTGGCCTATCGCAAATATTGAGTTTTATGGCCAATTTTTGGTCTTAGATTTGTTGATTTCTTCCTTTTTATTGGTGTTTTTTGGGAGGCAAATTTTTTATCAAATTATGTAAAGAGCAGATTATTGAAAAAATGTAAAGCTTCATTTCATCTCATGATGATCTTCATGTTAATTAATTCTCTATGTTTCTGACAATTGTAATAATCCTGTGCAAAGAAGAGTAAACGCCTCTTTAATCGATTGGGCTGTGGATCTTCTAATTCTTCTTGTTGTGATGGGTATAATTTTTAAGCATTTTATCAAGAGATAGAACCCCATACCATGGTGTTATATTTATTTTACAATCATTTTAGGAGTTTATTGCAATTATTTCTTCACTAATTTAATCGGGACATGCATCATAGGGCT